GTTTATGTGGAGTTCTTCTCTAATTCCCCACAGGAAAGCGAATACTTTGACTTGAACTAGGAGAGTGTAATCTGGTGAGAATTGATTTGATCTAATTCAAATCTGTGTAATGCAGACCACAGCATAATAACAGCCCAAAAGACAGAGCAAGAAAACCAAGTAGACTACTCAGGATCACGACAGCAGTTAGCAGCTCTCGTGGTTTAGAATCTGTGTTTCTGGAAACGTGTCCACTGATGTTACTAGAAACCAAATAGGGAGACGCAATAATCAGAAATCACGTTATGCAAATTAGATATAGAAATGTGAAGATGCCGGCTTGAACTCTTTTTCCAGGAAATAGTCAGCAGGCTGGGGATGTCGCTGACTACTAGAACATTTGCCTACCTTGAGATGCCCTGGGTGGCATGCCTAGTAGAACAGGTGGAAAAAGTGAGTCCTATTTCCTAGCATCTAAGCATTTCAAATATGCATTAATATGCAAATATCCTAGGTAGTTTTCATTAGTGAACAACCACTGTACAAAACAATGGGCTTCCTTATGAAAATTTCATACGCGTTTGTGATGTACTTTGATGTTATTGCCCTATTCACCCCCTATTGTCCTCTCTCTCCTTCCTACTAGTCCCTTTCAGTTCCCAGAACAGTGCCTCATCTGTCTCCAGGCACGCATTTTTAGAGTGTGGATTTTGCATATGGTTCCTGGTGATCTCTAGTTCTATTCATTTTCCTGAAGGACATCAAACACTCTGTTCTTCTTCACAATCAAATAGTACTCCATTGTGTTTATATACCATTTGATTTAGTGAGGCTGGGCCTACATCCTGGCTATGGGAAAGTGCCCCAACACACATGGATGTTCAGGAACTTCTATTGAAAGCTGAATTGGATTTCTTCAGGTACACACCCGAGAATGATGTAGCTACACAAACAAGAAGCTCTGTTTTCAGATTTTTTTTTTTCTTGAAACCTGTGCACCAGCCTTAGCATAAAGGAACCTGATTCCTCTATGGTCAGGGAACAGAGTTATGTTGGGGGAGGAGGATATTAGTGGCTGCCAAGAAATTAATCTGCATGAAAAATCATTGCTGAAGTGCAATTTCTAAAAAGAAACCATCAAGGGAGTTTTAAGCTATATTCTTTGTATTCAATGCTGTTTGTGTTTCAAAACACAATTCTATTATATTTCAAGACAATAATTTTCCCATAACTGTTATTGTGATGTTACAATGTAACACAATATATTACCAGCAACTGCACATTATTTGGCTTGTTAGTAATTATACATAATTTGTTCCATACTAAAATTACTAATGGACACAGCTGTAGAGTTAAAAATTTAAGTTGGGAGATAGAAGTAGAAATACCTTTTGTGAACCAAGTCTAAGAAGCAAAAATAAAAAGTTTCTTTTGTAGACTTATCTAGAGATTGTCACTGAAATACTTTGGAAACGATGCCTCCTCACACAGGGTCCACACTGTTATTAAAGTACTTTGTTTCCAACAGAAAGGGACCAGGGCTCATTGTCGGGATTGGGCGGGGGCAGGATGGAGGAGGGAGGAGGGGGTGGGAGTCTGACTCTCTGGACAGAGAACAGTGTGAGCCTGCAGGAATTAAAGGGAAGGCATCTCCAAAGACCACCAGGTTCTGTCATCCATAAAAGGGTAAATAGAGGCGACCTAGCACTGGAGGGAGAAAGCGGGATGGCTGCAGGTAAAAGAACAGGGTTTTAAAGGAAAACCGCACGTTCATATAATATGTGGACAGACAAAAAGTGAAATATTCCAGCGTGGTGAGAAGGAGGGCACATTTGATGCCTATTCGCTGTGTTATTGCAGACACGTGGGGGAGTAATGGGTATACACACAAACGCCAGGTTTTCTACACTGAGGGATTGCCATTTGGCACTAAAACAACCTCCAGGCCGGAAAGATAATCCACACGTACAAAATTCAGGTACACATTTCTTTTTTAATCTTGTCCTTAGTATGTGATAAAAAACAAGACTCACTGTAAGTGGTGTTTTGGATTAAGTTCTTTTATTTTTCTCTTCTTCTTTTTTTCTTTTTTTTTTTTTTTTTTTTTTGGAGATTGGGCCTCACTAGCTCTGGCTGGCCTAGAACTTGGTATGTAGGGCAAGCTGGCCTGGAACTCACAGAGTTCTGCCTGCCTCTGCCTCTCAGGTGTTAGGATTCAAGGAATAGGCCGCCACACCCAGGAAAACAAAATCTGAATTTTAATGTGGCATTTGACACACTTCCTTGGACCTGTGTTTACTTTTTTTCTTTTTTTAAAAACATCTACACAAATTGACATTCTTGCCAGTTGGAAATGGAGGTCACAGGTCACAGTTACATGGGAAAGATCTGTGGCTTTGTCACGAGTAGACATCACAGAAATTTTTCAATTTATTTCACAGTGCTTAGAAGCCTTTAAAATAGCTAATAAAAATATATGCATTATTTTAGCACAAACAATTTTAAAGTCATTAAAATTTCAGTGAATTTTATTTTCTTTTTAATGTCAGATATTCCTATTTCATATATTTACAGTCTGAGAAGGGCCTAAAATCTTCAACAAGCTTCCAAAGAATTCATTGGTACCAAATAAAGTCAAAAAGCAGACACTGTTTTCTTTCTTTCTTTCTTTCTTTCTTTCTTTCTTTCTTTCTTTCTTTCTTTCTTTCTTTCTCTCTCTCTCTCTTTCTTCTTTTCTTTTTCTCTTTTTTCTTTTTTTGAGACAGCGTTTTACTAGGTTTTACTAGTTCCAGGTTGTCCTGGAACTTTCTATATAGCCCAGGCTAACTTTGGAATCATGAAAATCTGTCCATCTCCACCCCCTTTAGATACCCTTTTCTTAAATTTATGAGACACACGGTGGTTTTACAGGAAGACTGAGGATTCTTTCAGGTCCTGCCATTGAGGGCCTACCCATGTCCCATGTCCCATGTCCCATGTCCCATGTCCCATGTCTCTTCTCTTTGGACTTTGGTAGACTTGTCACTTTTCCGGTAAGGACAGAAAGAACAAATCTCACTAAGCTTTAGAAGCTAAGTTGCAGAAGATAGTTAAACTTCCTCCTGATTTCTGAGGCGTTTGCTTTGGCAGCCCAGAGTCCGTGGAAGAAGGCCAACTTCCCTGGGGTTGTCACACTACAGGCCAGCCCAAGCTACGCAGTGAGGTGTCTTTTAGGGAACAGGCTCAAAGCTCTGAGTTGTTGCAGTTGAACTGACAGACATGTAGGAGATGGTAACAGAAGGTTCCATCATAGAAGCTAAGTCATCTCTCATATATATCCCCATTCTATCCACAGAAATCTAAGACACTGCAGACACAGAAGTGATCCCACCTCTCTCACTGTTGAAATTCCTGACACAGTCTGAGCACTTATTTTATGCCACCGCATTGGATTGATTTGCGGTGTGGCAATGAGCAATGGAATAAGGCTCAGGATGGCGCAAACAATTAGTCCTGCAGCACGAATTTTTCTTCGTAGACAACACCAGTGGAATCAAAGCAGGTCACAAGTTACCAGTGTGCGGGCCATGCAATTCTGACAAACATTTAATTTGCAGTGCAACTGACTGTAGAACTTACCTACTACAATACTGACTAGATGGTTCTGGACTGTGTAGATTACATGGAGGTGGCCCATTCTGGTTTGTCTCTCTTATCTTCACCCAAGATTGTTTCTTACTTAGTGTAGGAACAATAAATATGTGCTTGAGATTGGAGCAAAGGACATAACTAAGGAAGTGCCGAGGATATAC